TATTGGTAAAAAAATCAAGGCCCTCTTTTTCCCCACCAGCTAGTGGGAAAAGAGAAATGTATTTGAAAACTAAAACCTTCGCTGTGATGTACTTTACACTTTTGACCAGAAAAAAGGGCGGGTTCTGTAAAGTGATGATGTTGGATCAGTCTGACAGGTGGTAACGTGCATAATAAGCACTCACGGAAAGTATGAGTGTGTGTGTGCGTGCGTGCGTGCGGCGCGCACGCCACACAACAAAGAACAGTGCAATGCGAAGCTTCTCTAGTGTAATATGAGGATATTGGTGAAAAATAATAAACAATGTTTTTTATTTGGCCTTGGGATACCTCCGTATTTAAACCTGTTAGCAGTGGGCATTTCAGACATTCCTAGAATCCGTAATACATCAAACTATAATGAAGCCACACTGAACTTGTAGCTAGCTAATACGCAGGCAATCTGATACAAGTGTGTCTTTAAGTATCAGTACTTTTAAAAATTATAAGAAGTATGTGTATCTGAGCATGATTATTTTATATTCAATATGCTTTCTTTCTAGGAACTTGAAGCTCTCTTTTGTATATTGTTTAAAAAACACTCTGAGCTTGTAGGCATGAAAAATATAATTTCTTTCCCATTTCACAGTTGGAAAAACTGAATTAAAGAGAACAATGCTAGTAATTATCCATGATTAACAGAGGTGTGTATGTAAATCAGCCTGGGTAAGTGTGTGAAATTAGATGTGCTGATGCCAGATAGCTCTGCTCATGTTTTTTAAAGATGAATGCTTTCATATAAATCTCTCTGAGTCGGGCATACGTCTCTGTGTTGAGTATGTCTGGAAATAGACTTTGTAAGAGTGTATGGGTATTAAGGTAAAAGTATTGTGTATTACAAGCATTATAATACACAAAATAAATTAGATGAGTGTTTAAAATTCATTAGACGGATACATATCTAATGAACGCAAATGCATACATAATCATTATTTATAACGCACTATAGATTTATGTATGTGCATTTGATGCCGCGAGGTGTAGATTGGAATTTGGGTGTACTTTGATCATTAAAAAGTGTGGGAGAAGGTGCATGTTAGTTTCTTAAGATTGTGGGGGTTAATTGAGTTAATACATGCAAAAACCCTCAGAACTCTATTGGTACATGAGACGCCCACTGTCTATGTTAGCTATTGTTATTATTATCGTTATTATTATAGGAGATGGCACTGCTGTTATAATAAGGAGCTGAAAAGAGGTAATTTCTCACTGATACCTGGGATAACACCCTACAGAGAATAAATGAAGCTGTAGGGATTGTCTAGTTATCTTTACAGCACGCATTGATTTTTAGGATTTTTCTCCCAGTTTCCTTCCATCCCAGTGGAGTCTGGTCTGGGAGTGCCAGGTGGGGGCAGGTATATGGCCTCCTCCTACTGGAGATGGAATCTGGCTGTTCTGAAGCCAGGCCCACCCATAACAACACCAGGCTCCCTTTGGAAGGAAACATGCCAGGTGGACCTCAGATTTCTGCACGCCTGACTTGTTTGTGGGTTGGGTTTTAATTTTTTTTTAACTTTAATTTTGGGGGGTTTTGTTTTGTTTTCTGAGAAAGCTTTAGACAGCTGTATTAGTCATGCAAACCCAGCCATGTGCAATGTGTTTTATCAATGGAAAAACAGGAACTGAATGGCAAGCAGCTGTGAACAAACCCAGTGCAAAGCCTGAGCCTGGAAGATAATCTCAGCATTTCCCAAACCCACTCGCCACTCGAGGTTAGTGAATAGAAAGGCTGTTCACTTGGGATAAATAATCAGATGGGAGGCAAGCCAGTGAGACACATTCCAGGGTTATTAATTTTTTTTTTTAAAGTTGCAGTGGTGGAAGAAAGATGGGCTGATTGAATCCAGAGAGTCCCACACTCAAGGGGATTCCTCACCTGAGGGTGATAAAAACAACAGTGGTAATTTGTCCTTGTCCCGTCTCTCCTTTTACTTCATTTTAAATCTCTGCAATGGTTTTGTCACCTCATTTTGAACCTGCAGTTCTTCTCAATGTGAAGGCATCTCTAGCGGCTTTCCCTCATGAAAGGCTATGCACAAGTGAGAGTATGGGGAGGAGACAAGAGCAGTAGCGTCACTTCCCAGGATTCAGAGGCCTCAGGAAATGATTTGAGCCTAACAAAGTGAGAAAAGTTCCCTCAGTCACTTAGAGCTGACTCTTCATTTTACAATTAAGTGGATTTTCTGCAGCGATATCGTCAGAGGTAGTTATGCAAATATATGCAATTCAGGACTCATTTCAGAATAAATAAACCTAAATTAAAATTAATGGGGAAAAAACACCTATCAGAAACAGATCAAGGATGGAACCCTATTTTATTTATTTATGTATATCTTTTAAATTAAGAAGCAGGGAAGCACACTGATGTTTTCTTTTTTTGGTCTTGTTTTTGGCCGAATAGGAAAGGACATTTGAAAATTTCTGATTGGCCACAGACAATACAAATTATCCTTTGGTGTAATTCCAGTATTATTATTATCACTGCAGAAAATCAAGCAATATGATGAAGGAAACCCAGGAGAAATACATTTGATTTATTGAGCCTTGTTTTTGTTTAATTACAGCTTGAAGGGGTTTAGGACTGTGTTCCTGCTGCGACTCTGATGTTGATCCTCCGTCAGCTTGATGAGCCATGTAGAGTGGGGCTGGGGGTGGGGAGACCCTCCAATGAAAGATATTAACAATGAAACAGCTGAAATTAAACATGCATTTCTGTTACTGGGAAGGGAAAGTTCTCTTTTTTATGATGGGTGGATGGAAAAGGACCTTTGCATCAACCAAGTGCTTATAGACACCTTAAGCACTTCAGGGTTGAGACGTAGGATTCTACCTAGATGATGACAATATACAGTATTTAATTAAATGAAGGTGTTTTGTGTTATAAATATGACCAGAGTGAGGTAGGCATACTTTTCATAGATATTTTGGTACTCCAGTGGCACTATAAAAAGAATTAAGGATCCTATATGTTAATTTTTGTTCACGGAAAACTGCATTTCACACAGGTTGCCATCTTGATTGGACAGAAGAGAAAAAAAAGGATTTGATCTCTAAAAGTTAAAGTCCTTGTAAGAAACAGGGAACTTAAGAGGGCATTATCTTTCTCTACCAGCCTCACACATCAGCTATCCCAAGTCTCCATGAACAGCTTTTCAATTTCTACCAGCAGAAGCCCAAAATATTAGTAGTGAGATATACTATATTCTCTAGAACTATTGGATCTAAAGAAGCTATCTACAGTCTATCTACAACGTCAAATCAAACTAGGGTCATTCTCCAATCAACAACTCAGTTTGTGGGAAAATATCGAGTTCAACAAAAACCAACATGCTCCATTCCTGGTCCAGATTGTTTTTCAATATCCAACAGCTGTCCTTTGTGAATCGTGACTGACTTCATTTTGTTCCATGTTATATATACATCATAAAGCATGATCAGATAAATATTTGAGTTTGTGGCTGTAGAACTGCTCTTACAAAGGCATAGTGACAATGTTCAAACCTCATCCTGGATGGAGCATAACCTCTTTGGTGAAAATGTTATCCATTGGGACAAAAGTGTATGTATGTGTTTGTCACATCAAGAAATTTGCAAGATGGCAACATGATAAAATGGTGTCAATCTCTGCAGCAACACTAGAAGATAAATGTCTTAAAATAACTGTGGCATGTCAGGAATTCAAAATGGGATATTTTCCATGAACACTAAGTTTCATGTCAAGCCTAAAAAACAGGCACATTTTAAGTCTTATTTTTAGTAGCTGGGATAAGAAACATTTCATTAATGTTTTAGGGAACAATTTTATTCAACAGAGTTCTTCTAAAAATAGTTTGGACCCTTCTTACAGTTTAAGAATAACTTTTTTATTAAGCTGTCTAGTTGATCCTTGAAACCTTGCAATCCTCATTGCAAATATAATTAAAATAAGTTTGCATATATGTGAATAGATACATATGTAAAACATAACATTATTGACACTCTGAATATCCTCACCCAATTCTGACCTAATTTTTAGTTTGGAGGAGTGTTAATGATACATGATCTGTCTTCAAACTTCTAAAACAGCAGCTTTCTATCTTTAATTCTGAGCACACTTCTTTTATAGTGTATACAATAATCTTGTTTAATTAGATTTATTTTTTCCACACTAGGCCCCGCATGGCCTACTCTCCATTTTTTCTCAGGTCTTTGAGTGTTATTTGCAAATCACTTTTCTGGAATTTAATTTCAATGGTAGATTGGTTTCATTTCAGATTTTTTGTATTGTTTTAATTTTATTTGCCAATTTGTCTTTAAATAGCCTTAAGCTAGAAGGCTGGGGCTGCAACTTGCATCTAAATGTGATGTAGGAGGCGAAATTTAATTTGAGTGTGTGGAAAGATTTATGAAAAGGAATACAGAATGATTACCTTATTTTTTCATTTGTGTTTTCTAAAAGAGTTATGTTTAAAAGGAAAAGCCCTCAAATTGGCCAAGATTTTAAGAAAAATGAATGTCCTTGTAATCTGGTTGAGTTCAAACTTTGACAGCACTAGATAAATTCATTTTTACAATACCAGGGACTTCAGATTCAGATTGTGTAAGCCTCCAAACATGAGGGTGGTCAGTTAGAGGATTCGTGTTTTTATGAGCTGCAGAACATAACTGGCTGTGTTCCAAATGTGTGAATCCACGGTTACCTGTCATACATATTAATTGAAGAGAAAATTGCTTTCTGAGCTTGGCATCATCTTGCCAACAACTGACCAACTTGAGTCAGATGACAGATCTGTTACAGGCCTATCAACTGGTATGGGGACAATTGATTGACTGACTTTCTTCTGAAGGTTTAAAGAAAAAAAAAGGATTTCTATTGTATGTGAATTTTGTGACTATGTATCCCCCGTTGTATGTTTTGCACATTATAGATGATGGAGAATGACCCAGCAACAGAATTACAGTCATAAAAATCATACTGACCTTGAATGGGAATAGGGATTGTGGGTGAAACACGCTCTAAAGGGGAAAAATAGTAAACATCATGGAGAGTTTATATAGATCTATATCTCTTTCTATATATGTATATATCCAAATAGATATATATATCTTACTCATGTTTAGCTACTCAGATAATTATAAAACAGATGAATTTCCACGCTTATAGGAATATATCTCCCATGAAGCATTTGTCTGTTCTTCTTGCCAACACTAAAGTATTGGAGAACTATTAGTAAAATTTTAAATCTAAAGCCTTTAAAAAAATTTAGCTAGAGTAGGAAACAACATCTTATTGTGGCAACCCTACAAAGAGGATCCTATCCTACATTGAAAAAACTCACTACCAAAATTACAGATTTTTTTGGAGGGCCGGGTTGAGGGTATTTAAATTAGTAGTGATCACATTCAGTCATGCGACTTCCTCTTGGTTCTGGTCTCTTTAACTCATGACAGATGGACCCATGATAGCTAAAGACTCCTTTCCTCTCCCTGAGCCCTACAGCTCATATCAGCTTTAGCCAAGTATGTGGAAAATTTATTTTGGGAAATACTAATTCAACTTTTCCCTCAGGTTTTTACTTCCATATTACTAATACAAGTGCAAGAGTAAGCCCAGGAAATAAGTAAATTGGCATGCTTTAATTCTATTTTGTCTTTTAATACCACCCTCTTGTGATAATACAATCTCACCTGAAATTTGATCAACCAATCAAATGTACTTGATGATACATCCTGTTGAGTAAGAAGAAGCATTCTTTTGAACACTTGAGTTTTAGCTTATGTGTCCCTTATGGTCCTAACCCCAAGCTACTGATCATAAATTGAACGTGCAGGCAGGGCTCAGGCTTTAAGGTATCCTCTATTTATCTTATCAAAACCCCAGGTTTAACTCTAAATCCTCCTCTGAGGCTCTTTCAGAGAGGCAGAATGGTCTATTAGGGATAGGATACATTACTTACTGCCTGGAAACCCTATAGTGCAATATAATTAACCCGCACTTTATATTCCTCCTAGCTGTTTGGTTAAATAAGTACTAACGATAAATTGAAATAAACAAAAATCAAGTTCATATTCAAATTTAATCTGCCTGCCATCTCGTACCATAAGTTTAGGAAGAGTAGATTTTGCCTGGAATTTGGGCACTCAGGACATCCGGATGCCAAGAAAACCCAGTCTCCTTGCAGAGTGAACTTTTCTCTAGCTTGGCTGAAAGTTGTAGCTTAAATGCCAAAGTTTCCTAAGTGCATTAAGAGGGAACAGGTCAATAATAGCGCAGTGAACAATTGTGTCTTAGTTACACAACTGTCAAGTAGAAAAATGGTTTAAACCTCCACTGGTTATTTGGTATTAAGTTTCCTCCTTTGAAAATAAATAGCTAAACTACTTTCAGCATTTATGTAGCAGTTGGAGACTACTATCCCATACGATACTCTATCTACTGTATTTTATTTTTATTATTACTATTATTATTCAGACTGTTTAAATGACTCAGCTTAATATTTTCTCATCACACTGTTCACACCTGGGTAAATGCACTCTGCCCTCATTTCCAAAAGACCATCTATATCGCTAAAATCTTTTCAGCCGCCCTCCTCTCATTGCCTTTTCAACCGTTTCCCACCCTGTTCGCATCATCTTAGCCCTATCATGCCCCACCAGTTACTCTCGTTTTCTAATTCCACCTTCCTGACTTATTCCTTAGATGCTTCCCCATCCCAGCTTTTATCCTTATTTCTCCACCATTACTCTGTGGCATTTTATAATTTATGCCAGGGTTTGTGGGCTCTTGTAAGAGTGTCAAGTGAAGTGATACTGCTTAAAATGAAAAAGAAATTCTTCAACGTTTGAAATTCAAAAGTAGGGGGTACAGGAACTTCGCTGCCATGCACTTTGTCTTTTGGCTGCTAACATTTGGGGAAGTCAGCAGAGCTTAGCAGCTGATTGGAAGGTTTTAGGAACAGAGCCCTAAGATTGACCCCAGAAATATATGCTGTGGCTCTAGCAAGATCCTTTGATCATCGGTTTCTAATTTGTTAAATGGGTGAGTGTGTGTGTTATTGGTTGATTCTGCTGGGACACCATGAGATAAATGGGGCATTAACACTTAACAAGAAAAACCTCTGAATTAAAAGCACTCGAATGACAAAGGCTAGAGTTGATGATAAGATGTATATATGGAGGTAATTTATTAACTCAGATATGATTTTCTTTTATTTTTCAATGGGTATGCCCATGTTCTGTAAACTTTCTGGAAGTCAGCATATTCCACACCTTTTCTTGAAACTAAATCGAGTCCCAATGCCCATCTATTTCTTATTGTAGCCACAGAGAGCCCTTGTAAAAAGTTTGCAGCCAGTCTTTCAAACTACATGTGGATAGTGTTCCAATAGCTGCTCACACTGTTTTATTCTGTGGCAACCGGAAGTAGCTGGTTAAGAGGCTTTGCCAAGTCTTAACTAGTATCGTCAAGTGGTATATATTTAAGCCCTGAGCTGCCAAGGTAATAACTTAAAATGGTTTCTAAACAAGTGGGGGAAGCCCTCATTTTAAGGGCTCTCTCCAGTTGCTGGGTTGCTTAGGTAATACTTGAAATTTAATCAAGTATAGGTTTACAAGTTAATGATCTTTTAAAATTAAAAAGAAAATTTGAAAACCTCCTACACACTGATGTGGTATGGCTGAGTGTAGACTTCTTTGCATTTTTATTTTTTTGTACTTAATAGCTTCAAAATGCCTTACCAACCCACACATTTCTCTAAAGTAGAAGGTAATTGATTAGTAGGAGTTTCCTTTAACATGTGGGAATATTCCCCTCCTGAGGTCAAGCACTGATCACTAGGCTGGAATATTAGTTAGGAATCTCCATGTGCCAAAGATAAATCAACCGTCTAACTAATCCAGTGGACCCATGTTGGTGGGGGTTAATGGAAATGGAAATGGGGGGTGGCAGACACAGTGTCTCAGGTGGGAAGGGATATAGCAATATTTAGTTATGGACAGACCTCACTAAGTGAAAAAATGAGAAAGAAATTATGTCTCTTCACTTCCAAACTACAAAAGATACATTTCCTAACATTTTCTCCACATATACAAACCTAGGTAACATATTGATCTAGAGCCTGGATTCTGGAAACAGATCACCCAAATTTAAATCCCAGCAGCTTTATTTGGTTGCTCTAGTTACTTAACCTCTTTATCTAATGGAGAAGAAGTAGGAGTCCCTACTAGGGTTGTCTTGACAATGAAATGAGATCATGTATGTTAAGTGTTCAGTGCATGTGTAGAGTACCTTGTAAGAATTCACTTGATCAGAAGTGACCACCTTAAAATCATCACCCTATTATTCTTCCTCCTATCCATTGTTTTTAAAAAAAGTAACTCAACAGGGAGCCTGGGTGGCTAGGTTGGTTGGGCGACTGCCTTCGGCTCAGGTCATGATCCTGGAGTCCCGGGATCGAGTCCCGCATCGGGCTCCCTGCTCAGCAGGGAGTCTGCTCCTCCCTCTGACTCCCCCCTCTTGTGCTCTCTCTCTCTATCTCGTTCTCTCTCTCAAATAAATAAAGTCTTTAAAAAATACTTTAAAAAAAATAAATAAAAGTAACTCAACATAAGTATGGAAACAAGATAGGTTTCCGTTGTGGGTGCATTGTAGTCATCAGTGTGGGAACACAGAATCTGCGATGTTCCATATGCTGAGGATGGACCTTCTCTTGGCATCAACAGAAATCTTCCTCCATGTGGTGCATATCTCCACAGCTGACAAAGACTAAGGAGCTGAATCTTTGCCTGTACATGCTGTACCATTGGATTAATGCATTCAGAAAAATTGCACAATGTAATGCTTTCCCCAGGATGGAGAAAAATATATAAACTTGGATATAATATAGCCTGAGGTAGTACAGATTCTTGACAAACAATGCTGGAATGTGTGGAGAAGGAGACAAATGAGAAAGGAGTGCTTCCATTGGCCTAGGAAAAATTACTATCAATACATTGTATTCTTGCACTTTCATTCAATTACTTTGACCCCTCTGAAGATCAGTATTTGAATAGAGAGAGGAGAAGTATATGTATGTAGGTGGTGGAAGACAAGATGAATCAGTGACCACAAACTGACACTGTGTGAAAAGTCAGCACATGTCACTTAGGTGGACGCTGAAAATGTGCTGACATCCCAGTGAAGATGGATAATCGTGAACTCTTCAGGGGCTCTGGCTCTCCAGTTCTCCTTGCTTCCTCTTTCTGGCTTGCAGCAGCTCACCAGCTGCCTCATCTGCTCTGGACCAGCTGGGTCAGCACAGCACCCCGCTGCCCACACTGTGCTCTCTGTCAGGGCTGCTGTAGCCGCCCCTCCCAAGCATCTCTCCCCTCCTGACCCTGTTCTGTGGAAAAGTACCGCTACCTGTAGGGTCTCCCTTCTTCCCATTCAACCCATCTACTTTGAGTCCAAGTAATGGGCAATCTGTTCACATAGGCACTTCCTTTTTTCCCCTTTCTCTTCCCTTTCTCTTTCCCCACCTTCTCCCTCCCTCTTTCTCTTTTGCCTGGGTGAAATAGGGTTTCACAGAGCTGTATTCCCAAGGATTCAGCTATCATGGCTGTAACAAGGGACCTCCTAACCCTAAATGGTCACCATGGGGTGGGCGTGGTGGAAGCAGCCTTCTTGTTAGGTAAGAAGCACAGCTTCTCCCTTAAAGTGTGCATACTTGGGTCTTGGGTCTAAGGTCTAAAGAGGGCAGTAGTTCCCCTAATTTTCATCATGATTCCTCTAATTTTCATCATCCCCCCATAAGGTGGGAAACCAGTTACAAACCCAATGCTGAGGCACATGCTGTCAAATGCAGAGCTGGTGCCTGGGAAGGCTGTTCTGCAGAGGGCAGTGTGGGCCCGCAGGGGAAATAGCACACCATTAATCATGGCGCTGTGCACTTCTCAAGGGTAAAATTGCAGGTGACCTCAGTGAAGTCACAATATGGTGATGATACACTTGTCCAAGTTTGTGATTCTCAGCTTACAAACAGAAATTCTGTGAGATTCTTGGCACTTCTTACTTCTACTGGGTGGGTTCTTTAAATGGACTTTTATGAATAGGGCAATGGTATTACAGGGCTTGAGATCACCCTTCCTCACCACCAGCACACTCGCGGGATCTCCATTATCTCTGACCTAGCACACCCTTGCTTTCTCCTCCTCAAGTACTCCACCCTTCCCTCCTTCACCTTCCTCTCTCAGTCTACAGGTGTTATTTTAGTTATTACTTGAAGTATATTAGCACACTTCTTCTGGGTGGGAAAAGTGGAAAAGATACTTTTCATATGATCTGACTGATATGCAGAATTTGAGAAACAAGACAGAGGATCATAGGGGAAGGGAGGGAAAAATGAAACAAGATGAAACCAGAGAGGGAGACAAACCATAAGAGACTCTTAATCTCAGGAAACAAACTGAGGGTTGCTGGAGTGGAGGGGGGTGGGAGGGATGGGGTGGCTGGGTGATGGACATTGTATGTGCTATGGTGAGTGCTCTGAATTGTGTAAGACTGTTGAATCACAGACCTGTACCTCTGAAACAAATAATACATTATATGTTAATAAAAAAATTTAAAAAAAGGAAAAGATACTTTAATGCAAATTATAGGTGCTCACTTTTTCTAACCCAACTGTCCTACTTTCTCTATAAAACCTCTTATTGTCCCTACAGAACCTCTTATTAAGTGCATGTTGTTCTAATTAAGCAGGTTACCTTAGATATGTCAGAATCTCAAATTTAGAGTTGAGGCTGTTGGCCCCCATTTATGGAATCCCTGATGTCAAGAATGAAACAAGTAACTACATTTCTTAATAAATACCTTCTCAAGTGTCTTGAGATATTGGTGTCTCTAGCTGAAGTAAAGAACACTGATGTTTGGTCTTTGGAGACAAGTAAACAGGGATATGAATTTTAAACTTCATATTAAATTCATGTGAATTTTAAACTTCAACCATCAAACTGTTGTAGGTTGAAGTCAATGGGAGTTATGGGGGAGAAACTGAAGCCCAAATTTAGAATAGTTTGTGGTTGTTGTTTTTTTATAAGCAGAGTTGGATCTTGAACAGTTATAAAATGGCTTTAATACTTAATCTCAAGAGAACTCTCACTGAGATTGATTTTTCTCCTAAAAATATATATTTTTTTCTTGTAGGCTCATCTAAATTGGGTAAAGCAAGATGGAGATATCTCTCCTGGTCATAGTGTTTCTAGCTTTTCCAACTGAACATGTGCAGAAAAAAATTCCTAGTAGCTTGTTATTCCAAAATAATAATAGTAAAGGTTTTGGACTTTCTCTTTTAGTCCAAATGAACTTTCTGGCCCAGCATGTGCTAACTCTTTTGTTTGTTTTACTTATTCTGATAAACATTTTTCCATTCCAAACATTTTCCTATTCTAAATTCCATTTTCTTATTCTGAGTTTTATGATCAGTTGAACAGGACTGATCACTAGAAAACTACATAAAAGTAAGAGATGATTGATGAAACTGTAAACTTGTTTTCCTATTCCAAATGTACCATTTTCTCCTAATTTCACCCGTCATACTTCTGTTTCTCAGGGGGCATTTGTGTCTGTGCTCAGAGCCTCAGGGCCAGCAAGGCAGGGGGTCAGATAGCTGACCTTAATGGCTGCTACAGAGCCAGGCTCTGAAGTAGGCTCTCACTACTAACACCAGGAAGCTAAAACACCTGAGTCCTCCTCAGTCTGCCTTAGGATCTTCTCTGGTCTTTGGAAATGCTCCTCTCTCCTACCATTTTATCACTTCCAAAAATATGTCAGATAAGTAATGTTTCCTGCTGTCATATGGAAACCCTTCTGCAACCATTTTTCCTTTAGATTTTAGATCATGTTTTAATCATTCACTCCACCATTGCTCTTGTGTTGTTAAAAATACACTTTCTTTTCCCAGCCTCTCCCTTCTCCCAGCATCTTATCCATCCTCATGGAATTTTTCTTCCTCAATCACTCTCCCTAGGGCCATTTTTATATTGCCATCCATTTTCCAGGATCTTACATCACCTCTGTTCCTTAAGGAGATTTCTATTCTTTGAATATTCTTACAGTTAAATCAACCAGGAAACAAAACAAAACAAAAAAACAAAAAAAAGAAAAAACAACCTAGCAACAAAAAGTCACAACAAGGTAGTTATCATAAGTAAACCAGGAAATCGAGAGAGAAGTTATTTCATTTGTAAATCCTGCCTTATGCACAGGGATGGAGGGCCTGTGTTTCTGTTTCAGTGACTATATTCTTATTTTTGTGTAAGTTTACCTTTAATAGGTAAGGTAAATGATAAGGTAAGGGGGTGATTTTCAGGTTTCCCACTGGAGAACTAGTTGACTTAGTTCTCCCACATCAGGCCCTGCTTTGGCATACTTACTGAAAAGGACTAGGCTGGCATTGGTGACCCCCAGATTGTTGGCAGCCACGCAGGTATAGTTGCCATAGTGCTCTTCAGTGACGTTGGTCACTGTCAGGGAGGATTGGCCCTCCGTGCTCTTAATCTCAAGGCCATTAGCACTGTTTATCCTAAGAGTTCAAAAACAGAAGAGTGAAAAAAAAAAAAACAACGATTAAGACTTGGTGCAGTGATCCCTTTTTCATCATGATATTGGAGGACATGGAAAGAAATGTAGTAGTTAGAGCTTGTGGGTCCTGCTCAATTCCTTGTTTTAATCATGCAACCCCATATCATCAGAATCAATGTCCACTGACAGAGAAGACTCAGGAATGGATGAGTTTCATTGGGCTTTGGGGTAAGAGCTACAGGCCCCAAAGCACTTGGTAAAGAGATTTAGAAAATGAAGAGTTTAACAGCATAAACTCACATCATGACAGCAGAGCTTGGTTCTGTCCCCAGGACCACATAGTGGAGCAAAGGGGACCTGGCACATTTGGCACATACCTGGTGTCATCCCGGTACCACTCAAAGTCAGGCGCAGGCACTGCCGAGGCCTCACATTTGAGTGAAGCTTTCCGCCCTGTGGTGGCTTCATTGCTCTTGGATTCTGTGATAGTGGGAGGATCTGTAGGAAAGATAGGCACACTGTTGACATGAGGGTCAGAGGGTGCTGCAGAATTTCCATGCAAGAAGGACTCAGAAAGGACCATCTGATCGGAGAGCTGCATGAAAGAAATAGTCTTCAAGCCTCATTTACATGAATTTTGTGATCAGCTGAATGGCACTGATCACTAGAAAATGAAATAAAAATAAGAGATGATTAATAAAACTGTAGACTTGCTTTACTTAAATGGGACAATTAACAGGGTTTTATGGCAATGGAATCTAGGATTTCTTTTTCCCTACTACAATAGGCCATCAATTATTTCAACCATAGATTATAATATTTACATAGTTTTTTCTTTTTATAAATTAAATGGTGATACCAAAGGACTTGGGATTTTAAATGTCTAATTTGAACATTTTTCTTTTTCATCATCATCATTATCATCTCTGTTGTTATAGTTTGAGATGGTAGTAAGAAGTCTGGTGAAAGTGATAAAGGATTAAAGTTCTCCCAACATAAGCTCAGCCTGATATCGCTGCGGGAATTCAGAAAAACAAACAAACAAACTAGTGTTAGATATTTACCTTTTTTTCTAAGTGTTTCCTTGTTGCTATGACCCAAGTAAATTGTGCTTTTGTGTGTGAGTGTACAATTGAAGTGTACCCTGCCTCAGAGAAGCCTGCCTGGTGTGTCAGTTTTCTGCGCTCACTGGCAGTTGGACACTTGATATGTTCTGCTTAGAATTGGGCCTGCAAAACTCTAGCGGGTTTGAAATGAGCTCAGAAACACATCTAATATTCTAATTTGCTATGATTCTTTCAAGCAATCCTACAGAGGGTGGAACAAGCGTTTACAGGCCCACATGACTGAGCTCGGATGGTAGACTCAAGCTCCTGGCTTGACGATGCTGTATTTGTACAGGTTATGGACCTTCAAGGGGAAAAGGACTTTTCTGCCCAAAGGTCATTTGCCAGAAAATGGTAGGATGGCTCTGTGCAGAAGTCAAAAATAGACCCAAACAATCTCTTTAGATTTTGTAGAGGAGAAAGTTTATTTAGGGAAATTAGCAAAGTAAACTCTAGTACACAAAATTTATTTAAATCTCTGCTCTTCAGCACTTGGTTCGGCTCACTCATTTTTGATTTTTGTCTTCATATTCAAAACTATTTTCCAAGTTTCCTGCCTATAGAAGACTCTGACCTTCTTAGTTTAAAAGGATGCACAAAACCATGAGGTTAGTCTGCAGTTTTCTCCCCCATTTCATTTTCACATCAGCGTGGACATCTTGAAATCATTGACAGAGAGAGGAGGAGTTAAAGCACATTTGGATAAGCATCACCAGCCCTTGTGTAGACAGATGTGCCAAAGCGGGTGGTGGAGGTGGGTGTTTTATTTTAGACTTATCTACTCATTTTTGTATAGACACAAAAAAGCAGCCAGGTGAGTGGAAAGAACCCTGGATTGGAAACTAGGAGTCCTGGAATTTAATTTCAGTTTGGTTGTGTGGACCTCTCATCACACAATTTATCTTACTGAGCCTTGGTTTTATTACCTATAAAGTGAGGGAACCACACTTTAATGACCTCTAATAACCCTTCCAGCTTAAAAAAAAAAAAATTCTAGTCAAAACTGCCTATCTTTCACAAATGGGCAGTTGGTATCATTATGACCTAAGTGTATGTTCATACCCATAACTCATTTAACCCTTAAATTACTAACTTTCAAAATTACAGCTTATTTATCTGTTCTATGAGTTAGGAGTCAGGATTAACAATCAGAAACAGGAAACCTAAGGTCAGATTTTGACTCTTCTCTTAACCAGAACTATGGCCTGCCCAAGTGTCTGCACCAGTTTGAGCTTTTCCTTTCTCTTCTTTTAAAAGAAGGAGTTGGGGCACTTGGGTGGCTCGTCATTAAGCGTCTGCCTTCGGCTCAGGTCATGATCCCAGGGTCCTGGGATCAAGCCCCACATCAGGCTCCCTGCTCCGCGAGAAGCCTGCTTCTCCCTCTCCCACTCTCCCTGCTTGTGTTCCCTCTCTTGCTGTCTCTCTCTCTGTCAATTAAGTACATACATAAAATCTTAAAAAAAAAAAAAGGAGTTAACTTAAAATGATCACCAAGGTTCCACATAAAATTCTTTCATTTGGTGATTTGCTATGTGGATCATTAGAGCACATTAGTTCAAAAGATAATGGGATAATTGGTGGTAGTGGTGTTGGTGGGGGAGGTATTTGTATAGAGATGGGGCACTGAACAGAGGTTAAGAGTTTGGATTTAAAGTTTGTTAGACATGAGCTCAAATACAGACTCTGTACTTCACTGTCCTTCCTCATTACAGAAGATAGTGCTTTGTCTAGAGTCATATTGCCTCACCTTCCTCATTTATAAAAAGCTGGAACCAGAGGCAGGGAGGTCCACTTTGAGAGTACTGAAGGAACCCGATAGCCTGCACTAGGTTTGTGATAAAGAAAATGGAAAGGAAGGGACAGAATTGAAATTGAGAGATATGAAGCCTCGGAATTGACAAGAATAGATGTAAAGGATGAGGGAAAGAAGGAAGAGTGTCAGAGGTAACACTCAGGTTTCTGGGTTAGGCATCTAAGTGATGCCATCCTCTGCAAAAAGATACATAAGAAGAGAAATAGATGACCATGAACAAATACTAGTTTCCCATCCTCACCTATTCACTGTAGTAGGTTCTGAAGCTGCCAGTGACTCCACAATTTGTAGCATGCTGGCCAGAGAGATAATCTTGCTTGTGATTCTATTGACTTGTTTAATTTCTCAGTTTGTAAAATGAGTTTTAACCAGTGTTTGTGAATTTCTGGAGCCACATGGTTATGAGTTACAAACCCTTAATGATGACTACCTTTTTGCTAATCCAGCCCTAACCTGATCCAATTCCACACTTTCTATCACCTCTACCTCTCACACTCATGGCTGCGGCACCTCAACATAATAATACCATGGTACATGGCTTCCAGCCCCTCCACCATGGGACCAGGAATGCAGGTCCCAGATGTACAGTTTTGTGGGAGAGTTCTTCCTTACTCTGGATGTTTCCTTCTATGTGGTGGGAGCTTATTTAGTATACCTCCTTGCTCTGAGACCCACAAGGAAGGAATAATTTTGACTGAAAAGTCTGGAAAGAATAAATGAGGTTTCTTTGGCTCATCTCTTTCTTTGCTTCCTTTTGGGACCAACCTTCTGGCAGGGAATGGGGGTTTGCCTCTGTTTCTTCACACTAAAGTCTTACTCAGGCTCTCTCCTTCCTGCTCTTAGGTGAGTAGGCCTGCCCCATTCCAGGGCTGCCATATTTGGAGAGATAAGTCCCCCACACTAAGTACTACCTCTATCCATCTTAATCTCTAATAATGGGGGCAGTTGGGCCTCTCATATGTCTCCTTTACTTATTTCTCCATTTGTTTAGAACCTGAATAACTATGTAGTAAGTTATTTATTAGCTCCTCAGAGATGCCAGAAAGGTGAGAGCAAATTAAGGTTGAATACTTTTAGGTGCATTAATTTTGGGATAGGATGACACTGGTCAGTTACAAAGAACAAACACTTGCTTCTCTCCTTGAAAATCTAGGAAGTTTCTCCTACCAAGGTAAATTCACAGATAATGATAAATGTACAAAGAAGTCATTGTTCCTAATATTTCTCAGATGACACGATGGTGCAAGTCTGTTCACTCATGGCTTATTGGAATGAACATTTCAAAATTCATTTGTAATGAATTCTGTATAGGTGAGGCTAAGAAAAATTATTACAAATCACATTGCAGCATGCCTAGTATAGTTAAAATAATAGATGTCTATGCGCAAAATATTGTTATAATAAAAATGTGGCTTAATAATAATGCTGCACAGAGTTCATTGTTATTCTTTATGTGACTTTGGAATAGCCTACAATTTTCAAAGGACTCTTCCAGTCTTTATTACTTCAAAATTCTGGGTTCTGAAAATATTAATAAGGACTTTCTTCGTCTTATATCACCAACAACAAGAATTTTTCAAGTAGAATGAATAGGATAACAGTGACAGTGGTCTAGCAAACAAAGTATCATTCACTTAATCATCCTAATTTTTTTGAATAATAATATAAAAAGAACAAAATTCTTAATAAAGTTCTCAATTTGTGGGCATTTACCATGTGTCAGCACTCTACTAGGCTTTAGGTATTCTTTTCACCCAAATAATAGCTATCAGAGATAAGACTTATTAACCCTAGCTTATGAATGAGAAGACAGATCTACAGAGGGTTAATAACTTGTCCAAATTCACATAGCCAACATTTGATGGAGTCTAGATCTGAACCCATGTTTTGAAGCCCATGCTCTGAACTTCTCTGGGCTTCCATTTGAATGAGTTCCTTTAAAGAGAAATGAATTCCTAATAGGGAAAAATACCATTTAGGGGAACATGTTGGTAGCTTAAAAGGTAAGTGTTCTATTTCTGCTATTAAAGGGTACCAAAATGGCACAGCATGCAGTGACCTAGGGGGTATAAACCTGCATTAGAAATCAGGAGTTGTGAGTTCAATTTCTGCCTGTACCACTTAGATTATCATCTCCTATGGGTGACATGTTGACTTCCCGGGGCCCCCCCACCCATAAATGGAGATGCTGACCCCTGTGATCTGTCTCACAGGTTTGATGTAAAAATCAAACGAAATCATGTAATATAAGAGCATGTTTAACACCTGAGGTGATTACTTTTATTATTATTATTATTATTATTATTTTACATTTACTATTTGTATTACTATTATTCATGTGGTGTTTTGGAAGGAAAGAGGGCTGTGGAGTTAGAACTGGGTTAGAATTCCAACTCTACCTACCACTCACAAGTTCTTTGATTTTATGGCCAACAGTGCTTATATTCTCTGAGCTCTGTTTTTGTCCTCTCTGTAGACGGATGATTTGATTATCTTTCAGGGTTAGTGTGCAATGGTGGACCAACGGAGGAGGGGCAGAGAATAGAGGCAATAAGAAAGGTACTATCTTTAGAGAATTTAAAGATAATAGAACTAACTTAAAGTAATCTTTTTTTTTTTTTAAACACTATGTCCCAGAAATACTAAACTTAACATACTAAATAATGTCAGTGATAAAGTAAATATCTCCTTGCTGGGGCAGTTCAGGCCCAATACACCTCCCTCCTCGGTTAGCCACTGTCAATGTGATGACTACAGTGAATCATACAAAACCTCTAGCAGAGTCTTGGTACTCCAGGAATTCAGAAAATTATGGTTCTTGTTCACATTGCAAAGTTATGGTAGAAGATTGCAATACTCTGGATTCATACTGAATATTTCCTCTAAAGGTCCCATAATAGAGTCATAAGCATTAGGACATGTCTTTACTGAAACCATGCCAAATAGAAGAATAAACTAAAGGTTGGCATGGAGAATGCGTAGCTGTAGCTATGCATATCCAGAGAAAGTAGCCACTCTGGTTCCATTACGAGCAGTTATTTTCTTGAAGTCTCATCATTAGGTGATTTTTGAATCAAAGCACTTAAAAGTTCAGTTAAAATGCATATATATTATCTGGAGACAGTGGATGTCTCCAGTCCCAGTTGTAGATTCTATGGTAAGTAACCTCTACCTCCTCTAATAAATGGCTATCAAATGTAAGCATGAGCCTTAGAAATGCCAGCGTCCATGTCCCCCCCATCTGTGTTGAGTTAGTTCTAGACATCAATGTGGAGGCAGAGCTGAGTTCAAAGGGAGACGAATAGAGGAGAAAGAAGTTATAGCTTGGTAGTGTGAACCTAGTTGGAGACATCGTTGTGGGAAGGTGGAAAGTAGGAATATTAGCTGGTTAATGGGATGGAGGGAAGCCTTGAGAGTTGGGGGCAGCTTTGGAGAAGTATTTCTACAGAAACAGGAAAAGAGTTCAGTTTAACGAGAATCCAGATAAACTTAACAGTCTGCATTTATTGAATGTTGACTATGCACTAGATATTATCCTCAGGATACTGGGCACTAGGATGAGGTAAGCCCAAGTAGCTACTTTTAATACACTGTGAGAACTGAAATTGAGGGAATCTGTAAGGAAAGAACAGTTGTCCCTAGGGATGGTATCTGGAAGAAATGAGCAGCTGTACTGTAAGTAAGATACAAGAAACCAGAAGTCCTGTCTATTGTACTAGTAATAAGCTTATTTAGTTGAAGAGATTTCAGGTCAATAATTTAGCTTCTGTAAACTCCTCTCACTACTTAGAAAATAGATTTTGCTTGTCAAATGGCTATATGCAATGCTATAAACCAACTGTGGGGAAGGATTATCCAAGAGAACTAAAAACGAGAGACCGTAGAATCCAGTTTATGACGTAAACAGGAGAAACTGTTGTGTCTACATCTTTTATTTACTACTCTAGCTTCTCAGTGTCCTGCAACAAATATCTGTTGGCAACTGAGTAAATGAATCAATGAAATGCTTGTAGGAGCAAATTACCAGCATTGGGATTTTTTTTTTCCAGTGGTACTCAGGGTCTGTTTCATTACAATAAGCTATTTAGTCATTATTTATCTTAGCCATCCTGATCCCCTGAACTAACTCCAAACCCTGTATTTTGAAAAGGAAGAGGAATCAGTTTAAATAACGGGACACTTTCACAGTACAAAGGCTTAGATGAAGTGATGCAGGTAATACTGGATATTTCTCTGTAGGACCAAGTTTTGCAAGCCAGACCTGGTTCTGTAATTCAATCCTGGAGACTTCATCTACTTAATACAACTACATTTAAATAGGACATATTGTATGAACAGTTCAACAGGTACAATGGCTAGTTGTTTTAATGTAATATAAACACAGCTTATGCAGTGTTGGTGAAAAAGGTGATTACAAAGGAAATTGATATTAGAATATATTTCCTGATTTGTGACTGAGTTTGAAGAAATGTTAAGAGGGCAGACTTTACCTGTGAGTTTTTACCTACTCATTCAGTCAACATTCACTGAGCAATTTTTATAAGGTCAGGTATGTGCTAGGTGCTGCTGGTTAGGACATACATTCTGTATGTTTAACTAAGCTCATTATAAAACTCCATGTAATTTGTTATTAGATATCTTTTCAGAATCTTGAAGTTCTGTCTATATTCTTCCATGGTTCACTCATCACTAGGAAAAGCTCACATCTTCATAAAAGCCTTTTCTTAAAAATTATCAGTATTTTCTTCTGCTCTAAGTTACACTATGGGGACAGTCAAGAAGGAGCAATGTCAGACTAATTGCACTAATAATAATAGGGCCCAGGCGGCTGGCTTTGATCTTGGGAACCATCTGCAATGCGGGCCACTTTGATGTTTCACACAATGGAAACATAAATATTTTCTATGTACTCCATGATTGGACTTTCAGAAATCTAATTAAGATGAAGGTCAATTAAGAGAAAATGAAATCTTAACTCTAAAAGTCAGAGAAGAGGTGGAAGATGATGGCATGGCTGTGTGTACGTAAAAGAACCTAACTAACCTAATTATAAACTTACATAAACACCCAGAGAAATTGCCTTTCATGTGAAAAAAAGGTCCTAAAGCATTTTATAACATTAAGATCATTAATGTGTCTTTGAAACACACCCAGCACTGAAAAAGAATAGTAATACTGGCATTTCAAAACTCTATTACAAAAAAAAAAGTCGCAGACAGCTCCAGGACAAAAGCACTTCAGAGCTCATCAAATGTACCCCTCGCTTCTTGGAAATGATTGCCGTAAGTGTCTATGGCAGAGTCCTATGTATTGGATTCTTCTAGATATTGGGGTGAAGGGGATTTCACTGTCTAGGAAAGCTGCAAGGCTAAAGTAGGGTAATGGGAAATGGTGCAGCCCGGCGTAGACCAGGTCGCCTCAGACAAGTTTCCTCAGCTCTCTGTGCCTCAGTTTCCAAATTTTTAAAGTATAACTAATGATGTTTATCTCATGAGTTTACTGTGAGAATTAAATGTAATTCCATTAGTCCAGTACTGCCCATGGTGGGTACTAAGGATTGAAAAATGCCTTCTCTTCTTCTTCATCCTGAGAACATGGGCTTTAGAATCAAATGGGCTAGAGTCTGAATCCCTTTTCTTATACTTGCTTCTACATTGGAAAAGCAATTTTACTTCCTTGGGCTTCAAGAGTCTCAAACCCTAAAATGGAGTCAGTTCTATCTACCATGACAAGGAATTTATATAGAATTTATATAGAATTGCGGTACATAGGTAACTTCATGGAAGGCTTAAGATAATGAAAAGTAATTTACAATGGTCTAGAGTATATTTTCAAATATGGGTTAGCATGTTTGTGCATGTGTCTCTGTGTGCCTATGTACATGCATGTATGTGTGTTATATATGCATATGTATATATGGGTGTGTAGGGGATGTATTTGTATGTGTGTGTGTTCTAAATGCATAGGAAGGGAGAACTGTCAGGATGTCCCTTTGTCCCTGTCACTAGCCACAATTGTTTGATGTGGGAACTTGAATTTGAATGATGTGAAAAGTCACTCCTAACTGAACAGGGTAAACGAATTCTCTTTATTCCTTTGCTGGGTGATATACATCATATGGATCCACCCCTGCCCCCTGTCTTTTGAACTACATCTAAGGATCTTTTCATCTGCGAAGTTCAAAGTACGACCATTACCTATGCATCTTAGTGAAATCTTCGTTTCTAATGCCCATACTTTGGGACAAATAGCCAAACTAATTTATCAAGTATCCCTGGTAGCCATCGGGGACACATGATAACCTGACCACAGTGACTTGAATTTGTTCTCAAGGCCAATTAGTTAAATAGCAGAGGAAGGGTTATTGCCTTCTGATAAACAATGCAATAAGAGAAATTCCAGTTGAAGCAGATATGAATTGTTTCTTTTTCCAAAGTGGTGTGAACTTATTCTCCACAAAGACCAAAATAGTGATTGCCAGAAATGCTAGGGCTGTCTGATCATGTTTTCTTAATTCTGTAGTCTGAGTAAAAAACAGACTGTATTGTTAAATGCATTATGGGTTATATTTAGAGTTGGTAGAGTTGATTTATCTAATTCAAAGGCCAAGTCCTGCCCTTAGATGTGTCCAATGTATAAATGTGCATCCCTGACCAGAGGAGCATCTGCTTGAAATGCAATGTTCTTTTGTTAATGGGATCTTTAGAGCTTGCTCGTGGTAGAGGTGGGCCCTGGGCACACAGCACCTGCTGGCTTTTGCTATACTCACAGTTCACAGTGACCTTCACTTGTCTAACATCCGCTGAGGAGACTTCATTGGCAGCTTTGCACTCATATTTGCCTGACTGCTCCCTGGTGATGCCAAGGATCTCCAGGTATTCTTCTTCTCCTTCAAACTCTCTCCCTGAAAAACAGAAATTTGCATGATTGTTTTTTAGGTTTAAAATAAGCAGTAGAACACCTATGTTTTCTTTTCAGAAGCAGTAAATACACATGGTTTTTTAATAATTTGACAATGCATTTGTCTGAGGTCAGGTCCCACAGAAGCAGACCCCAAGACAAAAAGTCAGGTGAACGTGATTACGGAAGGAGCGTTCTCAGGAAAAACCAGTAGGGGAGTAGGAAAGTGGGACCTGGAAGAGAAAGAAGCCAAGAGAGGGTACAGGTCTCATCCCACACAAGGTAACTTGGTTTAATCCGTGAGGGAGCTTTGGAGAAAGTACATGTCCCACTCAAAGTTGTCCTGACTGAGGGTCAAGAAACTAGAGTGTTTATGCATCTACACCCATTGGTCACTGGTTGAGGGCTCAGAACACAGTGGGAATTGGGCACAGAGTTGTAAGGGCTCAGACAGACTACTGTCGAAGCCCTGTTACCATCAATTAAGCCATGTGGCAAAACACGCTTCCGACCAAAGTTGTTATTAGGAAAAGTGGTTTCCTTTTGAGAAACTCATTCTTCTCCCTCAGATTATGTGGAATTCTGTTTACAAAGGTCATGTTTAAAACCCTGTCATGTAGGTATGGTTTCCTTGCTTAGTGTCAAGCTGTAAACTGCTTCATCATTGAGGCTTTCAGACTAGGAACCAGATAAATGAGGATGTGCTGCTGATGCTGTGCTTTGTGACAGACGGTGTCACATGGGGGTGGGTGGTAGGGAGCTCCATATCATTGGCTTAATCAGTTAGAGTTAGGGCTCTGGAGGTCCTCTTTGGAAATTTCCACAAAGTTGGATGTGTCCATTTAGCAATGAAATTTCAAGACAGGCAGGCTTGTTTAATTCCCCTCCTGTGGAGTATAATTGATTAAATGACTTTCTTCCTGGAGAGGGTGGGGACAGCGAGAGAAGGACTAAGACGTGGGGGGGAGGAAAAGGAACTGAGGTAAAAGAAGATGAAGAGGAAAGGGGATTGAGCAGGGGAAGAGCTTGGTCAAAAAGGCCTATGGACTTTAACTCCAGCTAAATTGAACGCTCTAAATTGAACAAATTATAAAACCCCATTGCTGTTGGGTTAGGATAAAGCAGTTGGGGAGGGTGCAAAAGGACACAGTCCTGCCCTGTGAAGAAATCTTGCTCTTGGTCATCCCACACTAAATGGTACCAATTAATAGCTTTGCTCAAATGCCACAAGCTGTTTTCCTTTTCTGGAAATTCCCCAATGGCCAAATCAACATAACAGACAGCTAGCACAGAGACAAATTCACTGTCTAAATATGTCAGCCAAGCCTGTTAACTAGGCTCCCAGTAGAACACAGGGCCTCTTTGATAACATCCTATAACACAACTGTCAGGACTATTCTAAGCTTCAAGTCTTCTGTCAGTTGTCACTATCACTAGTGTTGAGGAGACTACACAATCCCAACAACAAAAGGCAGTAGTTATATAGAATTATCTGGTTCTGGAGTCCTGCACATTATCTAGCACATGTTTCTACTAAAAATGTTTTAGAATTAGTCTGTTAAGTAAATAGCTGCATATTATCTGTAAAAGATTAATTTTTTTCCCTGTGTTTTCACCTTTTTTCTTCTCCACGTTCAGGGAAGCAGTCAGACCTGACTTCACATGCTGCAGAAGTAGAATGTGGTAGGAAAGAAAACAGAAATCTTAGGAAGGGTAATAGTCCGCTGTATTGGATGAGCTGGGAAGAATTTGGGCTTGGAGGAAAAAAACAATCTTTCCTACATACTTGCAACTGTGGACTGAGAGTCATGTCAACTAATTGATGCTAAAATCTTGTAGCTAAATGCAAATACCCTGAAGACAAATGGCAATGTTGACAACTCCAGGCCAAAATAGGTGTAAACTCATTAAAAAATCTGGAGTGCACGGGCGCCTGGGTGGCTCAGATGGTTAAGCGTCTGCCTTCGGCTCAGGTCATGATCCCGGGGTCCTGGGGTTGAGTCCCCGCATCAGGCTCCCTGCTCAGCGGGGAACCTGCTTCTCCCTCTGCACCCCCCCCATGTGCCCACTCTCTCTTTCTCTCTCTCTCTGTCTCTCGCAAAAATAAATAAATAAATTCTTTAAAAAAATCTGGAGAGCAGCGGTGGAATTGACAGTAAGACAGCATTACTGATTTTGAGAATAATGGTGTATTGTAATAAAAGAAGAGTTTGGGGCACCTGCATGGCTCAGGAGGCTCAGTTAAGTGTCTGACTCTTGGTTTCTGCTCAGGTCACCATCTCAGGGTCGTGAGATGGAGCCCAACATCAGGTTCCATGCTGAGCACACCTGTGCCCCTTCCCCAACCCCTCCCCCTGTTTGTGCGCTCTCTATCTCTAAAATAAATAAATAAAATCTTTAAATCGGGCTCCCCCTGCTCTGCAGGGAGCCTGCTTCTTCCTCTCCCTCCGCTTGCCACTCCCCCTGCTTGTGCTCTCTCTCATTGTCAAATAAATAAATAAAAAATAAAAAAAAGAAGAAAAGAAAGAAAGAAGGGTTCCACATGATTTCTGAATGGTGTAGGATTTCTTCCCTGCCAGGCCCCCCCCTCCATCAACCTCATTCCTGGGTGGGTACTGAGCTGTCAGTGAAAGAACAAGTGCGTTCTTCTTAGAGATGGCCAACAACACCGTATTCTTTTCGATTCACTGGGGGAGAAAGGGTATGCTGAGTCCTCTGCTGTTGAAAAGCTGGACAGGGCATCTCTGGCTATGTCCTGAGGATGGATTTGCTGGGTGGAGTTGTTGGTTCAAAAAAAGGTGTGTCAAGGGCGCCTGGGTGGCTCAGTTGGTTAAGCGGCTGCCTTCAGCTCAGGTCATGATCCCAGGGTCCTGGAATTGAGTCCCGCATCGGGCTCTCTGCTTGGCAGAGAGTCTGCTTCTCCCTCTACCCCTCCTCCCCGACTCGTGCTCTCTCTCTCTCAGGTGCTCTCTCTCTCAAATAAATAAAGAAAATCTTAAAAAAAAAAAAAAAAAGGTGTGGCGATACCAATAGAGCCCCCAGGTGGAAACAGTCACCATGACATACCTTTTATCTGATCAAGTGCAATTTTTTGATCAAAGCATGGACACCTGCTTTTTGTTCACCTTGAGTCAGAATTCTAAAATGCGCTCAGATTCTCTTGTTCCTCTCCCTTTGCCGCAGTATATCTGTCCCCCTCAGGGCACTTTTCCCCTCCATTCTTTCAGTTCACTCTGACTAGCTGCTCTCAACCCAAGGGTCCTGTCCCCATTTCCCTCTACTCTCTCAACCTCAAGAAGGCTCTCAGGCCAGAGTGTGACACTTAACCTGTTTTGACATTCTCCGGTGGAATAAAGCCCCCTGGCTACAATGTGGGCCTTTCTCTTGTTCCTATCTATTATTTTCTGCCCTGGCATAAATGTTTACTTGAAATGCAAATTTCAATATTTTGGTATTTTAAACATCTCAACCTATTTCCACAAGCCTGCTCACGTCGCTGTGTTATATTTATTCTGGGATCTGATGTTTAGTTTAAATCTCCCTTTGCTTAATGTGCTTTGGTGTCTCCTGGCAATTTTCAGCTACCAGGCTAAATAACTTCTCGTCCTCCTCAGTGGATGCACCTTTCAAACTCCTGCACATAATTAGCATATCCCCTCGTAGTCACTGTTTACTCAAATTGTACATATTAGTTCTTTTAATATTTCTTCATAAGTCAGAAAGAAGGGCCTAGAGCTAACAGCAAGAGGAAAGTGTTCTCTTCTGTGTTCCCTAACGTAGAGGCAAATCAGCCAGGAATCACGCCAATTAAAGTATGCCAGGTGCCACCATCTTAGCAGCTTCAGAATATTGTGCTTTGGTGACACTTGTGGAGTTCACATCTGAAATGTTGATTGATTCAGATTTCCAAAGTCAACCAGGCATTTGGAAGCAAGCAGCCACTTGAAATTAAGTACGTTCCCGTGGCACTGGTCTCTCTCCTTCCTCTCTCTCGCCCCCATCCCCCTCCTTCTCCTTCCCACAAACACACGTGCATACAGACAAGTAGCGATTTATTTATATTTAACCATTCACTTGAACTTTTAGGAAACAGCATACAAATTCACTAAAACCCAAATATTTGCTTACTAAACAGAACAGGCCTATTCTTAAAAATTCCCCAGAGATGACAACAAGTGCCCTATTTGAGATTAAAAAAAAAAAAAAAAAAGGCTACTATCCTAATAATCATTATGATATCTTTCTTTTTTTATTTGAGGTACAGGAAATAGCATTTAGAAAACTTGTTAAAATTTGAGCGTTTTATGACTTTAAAAATGTAGAATTCCAAGGATTCATACATGTTAGGACAGGGAGAAATCATTTTTTTCCCCCTATTCTGAGAAGAGTCTTAGTATATCTCTGCAGATCATTCTCTCACAGAAGGGAAGGTGGGTTTGAAATGGGATTGACATTCTCTTTACTCTCCTAAATTTGAATATTTACTAGTGGATGTAAACAGATTAGCTTTAACACAAACACACATACAGATTAATGAAAAGCAAAGGAATGGAGCTTGTCTTGCAAGGTACGTGCGCTCGTATGCGTGTTGGGCCTGTGGTTGGAAAGAGTGAACAGGGTGTGCAAAAGCAAGCTATGAACTTCTACCTCTCAAAATAAAAGAAAAAAGGATTGCAAATCAATGATGCCATTTGAAGTTTTCTGTGCTAACTTCAAATACTGTAACAAGTTTCTGTTCTTACAGTACGTTTCATGTTTTCTTTTTTTTTTCCTAAGGACATACTCACCTGTTCCTGTCTTTGCTTCCTTCTCTACTTTTTTTTTTTTTTGGCACATCACGTTCTACACAAACATGCAAAAAAAAAAAAAAAGGAATGGAAGAGAGAAAAAAACACAAGAAATCTAAAAAGAAATATGCCTGTGATGGGGTTCTGTTTGTATTTCCAGCCATGTCTCTCTCTAGATCTTTGAAGTTTTGTTTCTCAGCTTCACATCCCAGCTGAG